TTGAACAAAAATGCTCATTTTAAAGGACTTTGCGAAACTTTTAATGTTTCAAACTTTTTCAGTAACTAACCTAGTACTGCGTTGCACTAGCAATGTGTATTAAGTTGTGTGTTTATTTTATGCTTTACAAAAATGTTGGCTGAGGCACATATTTTTAAGTAGTTAAAAACTGTTGTAGCTAGCATCACCATTTTTCCAACATAGGTTCATTCTGAAAACGTAGCCTTGATACGTTTCTGGAGACTGCAAATTATGTAGCCATAGGTACGTACGGCTGTATTTCGTTTTTTAAACGAACCCTATGGGGTGGTATGACACCATTCCTTTTTCGCGCTTGCTAGCTGATCGCTTACCTCTGTGTGGACGACTTTCCCGATGTAACCAGTTTGTCTCGTTAGTTCGTCATGTATGTTGGCGGACTTGAGATGCAAAGAGAAGTTGACCACGACAACAGGGTTTAAGTCCAGTGAATGGTTCCAAAAATCAGGTAAGACAAAAACAGAATCCAAGAAATAAAATAAACAAGTAAATAACGATGAGAATGTGGTAAAATTTGAAAACGTGGTAAAAAGGGCTTTTCTCTTTCTAAATTGCTTTTGAAAATTGTTGGTTGGGTTTAGGGAAGTAAGTGGGTGGGCAGGTCAATCGATAAAATTGGTTAGGTTTAGGGAAGGAGGAGGGGTCAGTCGATTGGCCGATCAGTTAGTCAGTTAGTCAGTCAACAGCAGCCTCTGATGGATTTATGCGAGAACAGCAGGCGCAAACGGCACTCACAAGAGAAATTTGTGCTCTAAAATGAACGCCACGTTCAAAAAGCGTACACAACTTACTCTCGTGGATTTGCAAAAACAAAAACTGCAAAAAATATGTACCTCCTGGGATGTATTTCGCAGCCTCCAGAAATTTATACAGAGGTATGTTTTCAGAATGAGCCTGGGTTGCATTTTTCTGTATTCTGGTCTTGTTTCCTTTGCTTTACATTCTTTCTTCTAGTTAGTTTCCATAGTTACTGATTATATTGTGAACCTGTGTATTGTAAAGGTCTCGGGTCCTGTGTATTTTGTTTCAGCCTTTGGTTTTGTGAATAAAATTACTGTATAAGCAAATTCACCTAACACTCTGTCATTTGAGCTTAAAGACAAATCTGTGTTAAAGAATTTTTCAAAAATTTCATGACATGCTTGAGGAGCACAGTGACATAAGTGACTTCAAAAAAGAAATAATGTTTGCCAATGGGGTTATCAAAATTAAAAAAATATTTTATTATTTATTTTCAGAACACAAGACTTATCAAATGTCATGCTTCTTCTAAAGTAAATCACATTTTTAATGCTGAGAAAGATTTTTTTTGCCGTCTTTGTTAATGAGGTTTAGCTGAAGGCAGGTTGATCTCATTTATATTCATAGGCATCTGTATGAATGTATTCATTTACATTTTTGTACTTCAGTATAGACACATAAATATACAATCTCTAAATCATAATCCCTTTCTAATAAAAGATGTACAACAAATCCTAAAGTTTCAAAGTCATAATTTATACAGAAACAATATACAAGGCTTTTCAAAAGCTAATTTATTTATGAATTAAATTCAGTCATTTGCATTTTTTGCATGGATAAACTGGATTATCACCGAAGCTCAACAAATATGATGACATACTAGTGAAACATCAAACTATGCTGTAGCGCTATTGTGGGAATCTTTAAAAGAATTCACTTGCTCCAACTATGGTCCAAATAGACAAATCAAGAAGTATTTAATAGGAACGGAGACCTGTCTTCTTGTAGAGCTAAACAGAAAATCATAAACACCTCCAGACATTTTACATCAAGATGTAGGCTGTTTTAAGTCCATGTTTAGCTCCAGGATGCCTCCTAATGCAAGTTGCCATGGTGATAACCAGTAGCTGGACTGGAATCTTAAGTCTCAAAAAAGAGAAGAGAAAAACACAGAAATGGCGAGAGAGAAACAAACAGGAAAAGGGAAGGGCAAAGTTGATGTGTGTAAGCTACAGAAGCAAGTGATAATGATGTGGAAAAATATTTCTATGACAGAAAAGTATAAAGTATAAAAATTAAATATAAAAATTATATAAATATACACTTTTTATTTTAAGTATATTATTTAAATTTACATTTAAAAAAGTTGAAAGTATAGAAAATATTTAATAAAACTACATTTAAACATGAAAACATATGTTTGTAGTATGTGAACACCCTTACAGAAATCTTTGTAAAATTTTGTTAATATTTCTGTATTTTATAATCAAGATACATTTACTTGAAATAACTTACGTAATATATTAAGTCTATTTTTCAACAGATTTATATTCCTTTTCAAAACATTAACTGGCTTTAAATTTTTCATAAACTAGACATAAAATCTTCTCCTGTACTGTAAAATGTTGTTGATTTTGATTTATTTGTTTAGATATCTGTACTCTAAGACAAAAAGAATGAGGAAAAACATCAAGCTTCAGGCTAGAAAATAGGTTAGAAAAGCTGCTTTTTGTGATGGGAAGCGAGTTTAACATGCTCCAATTTAAGAAAACGTCAGCAAATTGAGAAGCACACGTGCTGCACATCATCACAACGCAAAAATATTTTTTTAAAAAGTGCTGCATTTTCTCACAATGCAAACAATAATAAAATTGTATTTTCTTGAAACGCAAACATTTTACGAATATGGCCTGCATTTTCTCTATTTAGATTATGGTCATTAAGGAGCCGATCACACCGAATGCGCTTTTTGCGTTGAGAGGTGCCTTTTTTGAATGATTAACTAATGGCTGTGAGCATTTTGCGTGCTGCTTATGTGCGCTGCATGCCTCGCGTTTTAACCGCTTGCTGTGCCTAGCATTTTTGCCCTTGTGTGCCATGCGCTCGCAGTTGAAAAAAGTCAACTCTGAGCAGCAAAGGCACGTTACGTCAGTCGTGTCTTTTTCATTCTTGAATCAAATGAAAGCAGAGGCAGGGTTTTCGTTGAGGTGACAGCAGTGTTTGTGTTTTCAAGATGACTACAGAGATTTTTAAAGATGGAAGAGAGACATGTGGTTGCTGTTTTGAGTTATCCAGAGCTGTATGATTTCACAAATCTTAAAATTCTAATAATATCAACAGCAACACAACAGCAAAATACCTAGCTGATTCAGTCGTTGCCTCGCGACATGAAAAAGCGCACCGCACTTCTTTTTTTCTTGTCAACAAAAAAGTCAGTGTGGTGCGCCTCGCATTTTTGGAAAATAATTGTGCATTCGGTGTGATCGGCCCCCAAGGCTAATAAATACTAAAGACTAGGGAATCAGGATATTAAAATAAACAAACAAAAAAACTTACCTTTCAAAGATCACCTACAACTTTACTGAGCAATAGTGATGGCACAGCTGCATCCACCATGTTTTTGGGTCACCTTGGCTTGAAACATTTCTGTTGTTTTTTGTTTTTTTTGAGTGATGTGAGAAAATGCAGCGCGTTTTATTAATTTGTTTACATTGTGGCAAAATGCAGTGTGACTTTTAAAATGTGTATGCGTCGTGAGGATTTGAAGATCAAACGGATGAAGATCTTTTCTTAATTTGCTGGTGCTTTTTTTGTAATTGCACGTGTTTTCTTAAATTGCAGCACGTGAAGCTCACTTGGCCATCGTAGATTTTGTTGTCTTAGCGAGTTGGTTGCATGAAGTGTACAAAACAATTGAACATTCATTCTGTTTATTTGTAGTTTCCTATAATGTGTCATTACATTCTGGTCAATCTTAATCTTAGCACTTGGTTGCATTACATGCCTGTGTAATCACATGGTTAAAAGCCCTTTGAAAATTAAATATTGCTATAATGTTACCCTATATTTCACCTTCAGTGCTTAACTCATATGTGACTGGCTGCAAGATAGGCTTTACTGAAACAGGGTTAGGATGAATGTCCTGTGGGAGTTGAAGTAAGACTTGAACGTCAGTATTCCTTTTGTCCTCTTCTCTTATAGACAGTTGCCTTTGAATAATCCTCCTTGCTTATCCACATGACCATATGATCACAATTGCCCAGGGAGAAGTGGCAGGTGTGCAGATGGCTTACCAACGCAGTTCTCCCTCAAACTTGTCCATCTGGAGAATAAGTGGCAATTTAATGTCCCGTGTGAGCAGGATGAAAATGGAGTAATGCTTCTCCTCCTGTACTGCCCATTTTCAGGCCAGGAAATGAAGTAGGTGAAATCGTTCAGGTAGTCAAGAGGTTTATCACATGGGACATGTTGGATTCTCAAGTGTTGAAGGACGCTGAGTTTGCTAAGTAACAGAAGGTGCCTGTCAAGATGACTGACACTAGGCACCAGTAGTTCATCATGCAGTCGTTTTTGTGTTCTTCTAGTCTTGCTTCGGATGTTGAAAGACAAAGAACTGATTTGGAACTAGGCTCTGACTTCAAACCAGCAATCCAACTGCCTTAATGGAAAAAGAGTAACTTGGCTTTACTAAATAAATGGTTTCACTTCAGTGTTTTAGGCTTAGGATTGCCTTGATCACTTTTCACTCCTTGGATACTTTTGGAATTGAATTATTCATTTTGACAAGAAACGATTGTAATAATAGTTTATGATCATTTTCAATCTGACAAAATCAAACCTTTTCAATCGATTTCCATCTGTTTTCTGTGACCACTTGTGTTCAGAGTCCCTTGAGACCCTTTCCTCTTTATTTTGTGATGGATTACATTTCACCTTTACACTTGTATTTAACATTGTCCACATAGGAACAGACTGATGAAGATGCATCTTAATACCAACAATAAACATGGCCTTAATAAACATGGTCTCGGTCTGGGCTAAGACTTGTATGAGCTGTCTTGAATTCAACTCTACATGATGGGCATAGTTTAATTTTATTGGTAATCTGAGAAATAAAAACAATCATGATGCATGATTCATGATCCCACTCCTCTGACAGACTATTTTTGTGTGTTTTTCTGTAAGTTTATATGTTTAATTTGTCTTCTGTTTCTTCACAGTGTGAAAGCCGTGGGGAGTTGCTGGTCTCTCTGTCCTATCATCCTGTTACTCACAGGCTTAATGTGGTTGTCCTAAAGGCCAAACACCTTCCAACCATGGACATCACTGGCCTGTCAGGCAGTAAGTACACAGCACTCATTCACAAAAAAATATACTGTTAATTAAAATAAAAGTTCCAAAAGGGGATTTTTGCTTCCAATGCCCTGTAAGGAACAATTTGGGTTCCACAAATAATATGTTTGTGAATATTTCTCACAACAACCGGTTTGTTTTATATGAAAAGCACTTTAATACACCAAAGACGCTTTGCAATATATAGGATATTTTGTTGAACACTCAAAAAACATATATTGTTTTGCTTGTTTAAACTACTTACTTAAAATGAGCTGAAACAACACAATTACACATAAATTTGTGTTAGGCCATCATTAATTAATTGTGTGGAACCATGCACTTTTGTTTTTACAGTGATTGATAAAATTTCATGGATGTTAAGAGTTCTTCATGGATCCAATGATACCAATAAAGAACTGCTATTAAGTTCTTGTAAAAGAAACCCTGTCACAGAGGTGCCCAATCCTGCTCATGCAGTGCCATTGTCCTGAAGGTTCTAGCTTTTGCATGCTCCATTAGACTAGGCTAGAGGTTTTTAATGAGTCTGAAGACCTTAATTAGCTGGATCATTTGTGTTTAATTAGTGTAGGATCTAAACACAGTAGCTATGTTTCCATTTCGTTATGTGATTTAAACTTAAGCACAAAACTGCAATATTGCATAAAACATTTGCAAATAACTCACCATTTGCATCCAATGAGTTAAAGAGAACAAAATTGTCATTTCCTGATTAACTGTCATGAAGTATCAAAAAGAAAAATTTGATTGGCTGAAGTAGGAACAGACTTTTTTCTTATTTAATAAATGACTTGCACCACAGAGGAGGAAAACTACATGCGGTGGCTTTTGGAGGTGTGAGACCACTCTCAGGATCAGGGGTGCCCAAGCTTTTTCGTATAAAAGGCCAAATATCATTGAGAGCCGTGGGTCGAAGATAAATATACCAAGCTACTGTATATTACATAAAGAACCATGAGTAATTTCCTCATTTATTTCATAAGACTTAAAAGTAAATAGAAAACATTACTTTAAAGCATATTAACTAATGCAATATAACATTTAAAATGATAACTTATTGCAATAAAAACATAAACAATCACTTTCATAACACGGTGGAGTTCATTTATAAAAACACTAGTCAAGCAGAATTTACCTTTGCCTTCATTTGTCATCTATCCGTTGGGATATTGTATGTAAATTTAAACTAAATCTGATTAATTTATACCTTTAATTAGCTTTTACTAATAAAACAAACAAACAAACAAGGTTACATTAGAAATACATTCTTCCTCTCTTCTCAGATGGGATGGCAGGCCAAATCAAAGGTTACTGTGGGCCAACTTTGGCCCGCGGGGCCTAGTTTGAGCATCCCTGCTCAAAATAGTTCTGGGAGGTAATAACACCGAACCACTTTGATAATGTACTTCAGCTAAGGGATTTTAGAACGACCAAAAGGATCTGTTAATACAAACTCACATTACTTTTCGATCTCTCTGACAAAGAAGAACTATTTTGGGTTCATCAAAGAACATTTCAGTAAACAGTTCTTGAAAGGTTTCTTTTAGTATGGAGAACATTCTTAACATCCAAAGAACCTTTTTCCACTATAATGAATCTTTTATGAACGTTCAACGAGTATTTATAGTTGCCAATAAAGATGCTAAAAACCTGTCAGTATCTAATCTCTACTGTCTGTATTTCTTCTCTCCACCCACAGACCCGTATGTTAAAGTGAACGTCTTCTACGGCCGCAAACGCATAGCCAAGAAGAAGACACACGTGAAGAAATGCACACTCAATCCCGTATTCAATGAATCATTTATCTACGATGTTCCCGCTGAGCTAATGCCGGACATCTCCGTGGAGTTTCTGGTCATCGATTTTGACCGCACAACAAAGAATGAGGTCGTGGGTCGGCTGGTTTTGGGTGGTCAGAGCCCCATTCCATCAGGGGTCACCCATTGGAGGGAAGTCTGTGACAACCCGCGGCGGCAGATCGCCAAGTGGCATAACCTTATAGAGTACTAGTGTCTGGCTAAAAAGCAAAGTGTATTATACCACTTCCTTCCTATCAGTCCCTCTATAGAAAGAAGCTCTCATTAAACAGTCTCTCCTTTTCCATATACAGATAGTGAGTGGACGAGTGAGTGTGTCAGTACAAAGGATCAGGAGCACTCTAATGGAAACACTTTTCAAGTTCTCTAAAGAACTATTAGCAAAAAAGCTTCATCATAGCAAAAAGAAAAAAGAAAAAATGGCCATGCTAATGTGGTCTTCGGCTCTGATTAGAAGTATACGACACAGTATCCTCAGAGCCTTTCACCAGTATATTCATAATATACACACACTACTTTCGATTAGCCGCATGTTAGCGATAATAAGACACTTTTACCATAAAAGAGAACTGCGAGCTTCAAGCCCACTTTTTCGAGAAAATTAAGCGTGAATGTTTTCGTAGTGTAGGATAAAATTGAACGAATGGTGATATAAGCTGGACACCATCATGAACATTTTTGCTAACATGCTAATACTTACAAGGTTGAAATATGGCTATTATTCATATTCAGCTAAAGCGTTTTTAGCAGTGCTTAATCTTTTTTAAGATGCCATTTGTCTGAAGATACAAAACGTGATGTTAGGATTTCAGTCATTCGTCAAAAATGAAAATTTATGACCTTCAGCTCAGGTTTCAAAATAAATTTGACTTATAAAAAGCCAGTCTACACTTCCTCCATTTTTATGCTGTAGCTTCTTAATTTATTTGTAGCTTTACTTAAATTGAATTGTTCATTTCTCCATTCAATTCAATTCAATTTATGTTGTTTTTCTTTCTAAATATAGCGCTTTTACAATGTAGATTGTGTCAAAGCAGTTTATCATAGAAGTTGTAGTAAAGTCTAGATTTCAGAGTTGATCAGATTTCATCACTTGGACGAAGCACTTCTAGAAATTTTTGTTCTCGGCATATCTCAATATACTTTTTCATGTTCTTTAGGCATTTCTATACACATTTCCATTTCACCATGAAGAACTATTTGACCCAGTGGCTGTGCCCACAGCATAGAGATCAGGGAAAGTTCAGTCAAAACAAATTGCATGGAAAACTGAGATACAATAACAGTAAAAGCCAAATGTGACACAATTGTCTACAAATACCTAACATCCTTTCTATTGTCATCAGATGTGTTTTTAAGGCCACAGTTAATTCTTAAGGCCATAATTCGTAATATCTATGGTCAAGATGTACATAATGTATCATAGGGTGTAGCACTGGTACTTTTATTCTCCTCTTCATAGCACCATTGAAAATCACCAAATATACTGTACTTTCAAACTGTTAACTACAAATTTTAGCCCTAACTTTAAAAATCCTAATTAATAGCTTAAGATGTATGCAGATTCAGACCGATTTTTGCACTTTCTTAGAGTACTGTATTTATTTTTTATGATTTGTGTTCTAAAGAAAGACTATATATAAATATGTATATCAAAAACCTAATATCTATAATAGGACTAATGACCGTATTGAAGTTAGGATTTTGGCTCACCAAAGTAATAGGACCGATGTTTTGTGAGGTGTTGGTGACCGCAATGAAGCAGCTCGCACTGCAGTCTCGGACAGTCCTCTGCGCACAGACGGTCTCAGAGTCAATGTTTGAAGGCTTGTAATGTGCACGTGGATGTGTTCCCAATGATGTCATTCAGTGCCCACGGTCCCCGAGGCACATTTGCACGACATATTCCCAGTGCAAATGATGAGCGCATATTTAGTTCAGGCCTGAAAGAGGGAGAAAAGAGAAGTCGAATGACTCATTAGAGATATTTCGTATTTAACATGTCAAATTAATATAGCAGTAAATTAGGCCCCGGCGTTCACTGCAGTCAAGCTCATTGTGAGTCATTAGGACCATATAATGAGATTATCTCATTTATTAGGAAAAACGAATGGCATTCCAGTCACATTTTCAAGAACCCATCATCCTTCTATTCCACTTCAAGGCTGTACATTTACGATATCAAAAGTGACGATGGTTTTAACCCTGCATGCATTCACTATTCAAATTTCTGCTTCAAACTTGTGTATATATTACAGTTTTTAGTGGTTTATATGACAGCAAAACCCACTTTTGTAAAAACAGCAACCCAAATCACACTAAGTGAACGTGTTTTTTCTTTATTTGAACCCTCAGCTCCTTGTGTTAATCTGAACTCTTTTTTTTTTTAATCTGTTGGGCATAAAAAGCTTGTTTTATATCAATAACTATAGACATGAAGATGAATATAACCATTAGTAAATGAGTGTTTGTTCCAATGCACTGGTGGGCAGTTGCACTTTCTGCTCTTCTTGTATCTAACTGTTTTACCTGGAATGGAAATGGTTTCTTTTTTTGGTGTAAATCTCCTGTTTTGGAGTATTATCTGGCCCTCTTTTTCTCTCTGCCACTGGTCCCTAACAATCCCTCAGTTACTTTCGCTGTTGTGTGTTGTACAAATGCATCGAAAGCTGAACAAAGACAGAAAATAAACTGACTGTAATAAATATTTTAGTCCATATGGATACCGCCGTGTCGATATGGTGAAGGTGAGGTGATGTTAGTGATTCTGCTTTATTTTAGGTGTCCCTACAACCACTGTATTTGGATGCTAAACAGTGTTAGTTCACCACAGCTGTAGTGTGATTCATGTTGTTACCTGGCCTTTTTCGATATTTGTAAGTACAAGCGAGTTGTCTATGTATATTGTAGGTACAGTGTAAAAACATGTACTTTTACATACCTGGCTTAATACTGCTCATTTCATGATTGTCAGGGACATCTAACATAAAGTGTAATGAAGTGTATTGCTTTTGGGGGCAAGTTATCTGCATACTGCTGTGAGTTTATGCTAAAAACAGTATGTTACACTAATGCTGACTTGTACTGTATGTTGAAGTTGTTAACACAATGGACGTGCAAATAAAATAAAAACTGATACACTACATTAGATCTTATCCTCCTTCTCTGATCTGAAATTATATTGTCAATAAAATAATTTCACTATGTAACCCGGGTTAAAATCAGGGGCCATGTTTTCCACTTGTTGGCGCTGGTTTCTTCAGGGTTCTCCGCTTTCTGCGACATTCAAAAGACATTCGCTATAGGTGAAGAAAATAAGCTAAATTGGCCGTAGTGTATGTGTGGGTGTAAATGCAATAGTGTATGGGTGTTTCCCAGTGCTGTGTTTGCAGCTGGAATGGCATCCGCCGTGTAAAACATATGCTGGATAAGTTGGCGGTACAGTCCTCTGTGGCAACCCCTGATTAATAAAGGGACTATAAGCCGATAAGAAAATGAATGAATTAATTAATAATCAGGCGCCTACTTAATTTTAATATTGCTCAATTTACAGCAGCAAATCCTTCATTATGAGATGATGCATATAAACAAATGTGAATTTAAAATGAGCAGATACACTCTGTTGCAGAATGGACTTGTGCAAGTTAGTTATCTAGGTCATAATTTACATAGAAATGTAGATTGGTCTGATTTAAATGTGAAGTGAAAGACTGATTATCCTGTTTTAAAGGAACATCTCACTTTTTTAAATAAGCTTTTAGCAGGTTGAGTTTCACCATTTTTAAATTTATTTAGCAGATCTACAGTATGGGTCTGGCAGTACTTTTAGTTAGCTTAGTATAATTCATTAAACTGGATTAGACCATTAGCATTACATAAAAAAATAACTTTTAGTAATTTTCCTATTTAAAGATGGGTAACAACGCTGTGTAATATCATTGCATCTACTGCAGTTGAGGCACGGCAACAAAGTTCCTTATATTTATGCCAGAATGAGAGTATACAGTTGAACACAGAATTATTAGCCCCCTTTTAATTTCTTTTTTATATATTTAATGTTTAACAGAGCAGGGAAATGTTTACAGTATGTCTGATAATATTTTTTTCTCTTGCAGAAGGTCTTATTTGGTTTATTTTGGCTGGAATAAAAGCAGTTTTGATTTTTTAAAAGCCATTTTAAGGTCAAAATTATTATCTCTTTAAGCTATATTGTTTTTTGACTGTCTATAGAACAAACCATGCTTATACAATAACTTGCCTAATTACCCTAACCTGCCTAGATAACCTAATTAACCTAGTTAAGCCTTTAAATGTCACTTTAACCATCTAGAGTTATTTCCTGTCATCATGACAAAGATAAAATAAATCAGTTATTAGAATTTAGTTATTAAAACTTTTATGTTTAAAATGTATTGAAAAAAAATTGGGGAAAAAAATAAACAGGGGGACTAATAATTCTGACTTCAACTGTACGTCCTAACCAAATCAACCTATAAATGAAGTTAAGCTTTAAATAAGAAATTGCATTTTTTGAATGAGATGCTAATGGTCTAATCTGATTCATTGATTTAAGCTAAGCTAAGCTGAATCAGCTTCCGCCAGACCGAATGCATTCAAAAATGTTAAAACTCAAATGTTTAACTCAAGGTAGGGGAGAGCGAGAACGAAAGTAACGTGGGACTAAAGTAACAGAGTGATTTTCTCGAAACCCATGGCAATATTTGATTTCCAGGCTATAACAGTACATTCAGCATCCAACCCTTGATGGATATGCCAAATATCATGTGATTTCGGGACTGTCACGCAGTTAGCTCCAGATTTCTGTTTTTAAGTGCAAAAAGTTAATTATTGTAGCAGTTTTTTTTTCCTCATTTCAAATTGTGTTTCTCTTTTTATGTGTCACATTAATGATTGAAGGTTATTTAGTGCAATATAACACATCCTTGAGTTTGAAATCGCTGAGTTTTTCTGTTTAAAAGTAAATTGTTATTTATATCCCACTGCTAATAGACAAACCTTATTTTTCACTTCCTCATGAGAGTTTTCAGTGTTTTGACTCATATGTTTAATAAGGTTTATGCATATTGCTAATAATAATAATAACAACAATAAACAATTTAGAATTATAGAAATGTTTACCATTTTGCAATGTTGGGTTGCTTTTAAACATTTGATGGTGCTGAAATTTAAAACAAAAATGCTATTTTATATTTTTTGCAAAAATAAAGGACAAAATATGTTTGCAGTTAACATTAACAAGGTCATAGCCAGATATATTTAAAATAAACCAGATTAAACCAGTAAATCTAGTTTATAATGTTATTTTACTATTGACCCACCTGTGTGTTACTTTCATCCCTTCTGACGGTTCAATAGTAACTTAAACAAATGTGCAACTTTTGTTTAAAGTGAAATTATATTGGAGTTCTTCACTGATACACAATAACACCTGATTTTGATAGACCACTGATGTGAGCAAATATTTACTTCTGCTAAAACATTATCTTTTAAATTGAAGTTTTTATGAAAAATCTTATTTTCATCCCTGCTCTCACCTACCTTAAGTTTCCCAAAATAGTATTTCGTTAACAAAGGAACAGTTACATTACAAGTAATTGCACTGACAAAGTATTACCATGTTTAAAAAAAAATAATTATTATTATTCCATCATGAAGTAGGCGACCTGTCATATGCTGGTCAATTACCACTTGAGGGCAAGTTGAATGTGCATTTCTCACAGTATTTTATTTGTTATTTGAGCAGGTGGTTGTGGTAAACAAAAGAAAATATATTTAAAAGAATAAAGGATTCAATCATTCAGAGAGCACATCATTAATATTTTACTCTAG